TTGAACAGATTAAAATCATTTAACATCGACTTGTACATTGTTTTCTTTGTTTTCTTTCAGGTGGCATTCATCTTCAGTTTGGAGTGCGTGGCCAGTTGCCGACTATCATGTGCTTCGACAGGTTTGGCGCAAGCAGGGATGCTGGTTGGTGGTTTGGGCCTTGAGGACAATGTCGATGGCGCGTTTTGGGAGACCAATTCACGAGAGGATTACAGAAAAGATCAGAAAAGGTGACTTTAGATGTGAAAATAGAGCGAAAGCTGTGCAAAAATCACTCAGATCCAGAAAGTACTCGGTAAGTATTTGCCTTGAGGGCCAACAGGCTTATGATATGAATTCTGCTCCCATATCCTCTCCCATTCCGCAGCACGATGCTCGCTTCAGGTGCCATCACCGGAGTGGGTATCGGGCTGGGCGCCATCCTTTCATCCCTTGGCACGGCCGGTGCGGTTGCGCTATTTGGGGCAACAGGCTGGGTCTGGGTGACTGTTGTTTGAATATGTTTGAATATTTTCCCACATATTCCCAGTTTTTTGTTCTTTTTGTGCCCCACCACACCGAATTCCCAGCGCAATTGGAAGGTGCAGGCATGACAGGCTGGAAGATGTCACGACGTTGGGGCGACCTGGAGGAGCACCTACGGTGTTTGAGTGTGTTATGCAGAAAAGGATCAAGTGATCGAAGTGATAAGGGTTTGTCTGAAAATAGGGTATATATTCCCAATTATAGCCATTTAATAGGGATAATGATCAGCAAAACCATTGGGTTTAGGGGTACACTATTTTCAGACACACCCATAAGGAAGTTGCATTGAGACTGCGAATTTGTCAATGTCCAGAAGGTGCAAACCGTTGCAAACCTACACTTCCATCATTTTCCAAGTCTTGGACAGGAGTTTGACTTCCAGCCTTTGGAGAACGATAAGAGGTTGGTGAAGGAAACCATCCAGCTGGTGGACCCGGAAGCCATTGCGACCTTGGATGAAGCGACGCAGGCAGCTGAAACCATGGAAAACTGGATGGATTTTCCATGTTTTCCTATATATATATCATAGATCCTTATATACATTTATGGACGGTCTACATACATGCATGCATGCATATATGCATACATGCAAACATGCATATGTTATATGCATCCATCCATACATACCTACCTACCTTACTTGCTTGCTTACTTCCTCACTTGCATACATATACAATCACATACACATACACATACACAGACAGACCAACAGGCCGACCGACTGACAGACTGACGGACCGACCGACCGACCGACAGACATACAATACAATAGAACACAATACAATGCAATACAATATAGACCAGACCAGAGCAGACAGAGACCAGACAGAGACAGAGACAGAGACAGACAGACAGAGACAGACAGAGACAGAGACAGAGACAGAGACAGACAGACAGACAGAGACAGAGACTGAGACAGAGACAGGGACAGAGACAGGGACAGAGACAGACAGACAGAGAGACAGACACAGAGACAGAGAGACAGAGAGACAGTCAGAGAGATGTCAGAGAGACATACAGACATACGGACATACAGACACAGACACACACACACAATACATACACGCATGCATGCATGCCATGCCTTGCCTTGCCTTGCCATACCATTACATTACATACATTGTGAATGACCAGTAACTTGGATGAGGTGGTAACCCTCAACTATCGATGGATGTTGATGACATGTTGGTTCGTCCGTTGTGCACGACATGTTGCTTCATGTTGACAACATTGCTGTACCATGTGCTCGTACCAGGCCGGTTCGCTAAAAGAAGATGTTGGGGCCTTAGATTTTGCACATGTGCATCTCAATGCAGCTCACTTTTTGTGTGGATGTCTGGAGGTGTGTTTCCTGATGTCGGTTTGGACACCCAAATCGACCAATCTATTTTTCGGAAAAGATGCTTATTATTTTTATTATATATGCTGAATGTGGATTACCCAATCCCTTTGAATCTCAAACCAACACACCCGCTGACCAGCCTTCACACAAGGTGGATGCGCCAGTAGAAATTTATGGAAATACTGCATTATCTCAATTCAGTCAATTTTCGTCGGGTCAGCTGCAGCATTTGCGACTGCGATGTGAGGTTGCAGTACCTTTGGCTGCTGGTGGGCTGCATGCACTTCGGAAAGGCAGATGTTAAGATGTGCCATGGTCATCCATGGTCAAAACATGGGTTATTGTTCCATACGATATATTTTCCCACACAGATCACAAAGGGATGGTCCCATTGATAGGGATTCAATATACCCATTCCATTCAATCCCGGATGATAGTGACAGTGGATGACCATACCCAACATAATCATACATACCATGCTTTGACCATGGCACAGATGTTCGCGTCGCGTTTTTGAACCCATCCGAAAGGGTTCAAAGCCTGTCCAGTTTGGCAAATGCAGGCAGTGAGCTTGTTCGCAGGGCAACCCAGTTCCGATGTGTTCGAACACATCTGGATGGGTGGTGCGATCTTGAAGCTGCCCATAGCTGCTCTGTTTTTCAGGCCGACAAACCCTAGCTGGCCAGAACAGGCTGGGCTTGGGAGAGCATGGCAACCCATGGCAACACTTTCTCATACCTTCTGTCCTGCCAGATCAGATGAGAAACTCGCGGTGTGTTACGAATTCCAACATGCTGTGGATCAGGCAGGAATCAAGCTTGACGCGCAGCAAGTGTAGGATAGTTCCGAAATGTTCCGAACCTTGCAGTATTGCTTGAAAGCAGTGTGGGTATGAAAAGCACGGAGAACATGCTGCCCATCTTCACATGCTTAGGACCAGGATTTCGAAATATTTCGAGTTCTGATATGCAAGGAGAAGTGACTTATATGATCTTATATGTATATATATATATGTATTTACAGAATTTTGCAGACATATCTTATATAACTTATATATGGCTAGACTCTGCTGTTCCACGAAGGGCTTAAATGGTGTTGGTCCCGGTGGTCCTGGTCCATCCCGTCCATCCCGTCGATCCCGTCCTTCCCGGTGGTCCCAGGTGCAGCGCTCCGTTCACCTGGCGCTCTTCGTGTCCGGTTGGATCCGTGATGTGTCGGACTTCCGACAGCCTTGGCTCGAGGCGGCGAAGGCGATCCGACGGACACCTGGTGAAAAAAAGGGGCCATTTTGCTATAGCGATAGCCAGAACATGCCAGAACCATGCGCTTCTTATGGCTTGATTATGCTGTGACACTGTTAGTTATAGTTACTGATTATGCTTGATTATAGTTATTGATTGTTCGATGTTGGAGCAGGAAGCGCTCCTGCTCCTGCCGCACAGGTCTTTTTTCCACGAAGTGGTCATTTGGTGAGGTCCTGAAATGTCCTGAATATCTGGACTCGATGTGTTGAAATGTCATGTTTATGATATTTATTATGGAGAAGAGCAGGGACTATAGGGACTGATCATTGGCCATCATTGGCCCAGGCCTTGCAGTGGGAAACCCAAGAACTTCTCGATGTCAGTGCTGTGCCAGAACCTCAGCTGGGTTTTTAACATGTGTTAAACACACTCCTTGGGCTTCACTCCTTGGGCTTCGGTCTAGACATGTCTATAGAAGCTATGCATTACATTTTTGAGTCCAGACCAGGTTTGGCCAAATGATCACGCAAGAGCTTGCCTCAAGTACAGTAACTTGGCGAGAGATTTGGGCAAAGAGACTTTTCCACCATGGTTTGATCTCTGCAGATAAAACAGATTTTACCATAGCCATGAGACCTCGCAGCAGCTCTACGCAGATGTTGACCTAGCAAGACAAACTCGCCTAGGAATGCTTAAGATCTGAAGCAATTTCATTGATCAGTTTGCCAGGAGACCTTTCCCCAAGGACCCGACGGACCCCCCATGATTTTGCTAAGGCATCGTTTTGGCTGAAATCCACGGCTCTCTCCGGCGTTGCGGCAGCAGGTCCGTGTGGGGAGGAAGACCACCACAAAAGCTTTGCGAAGGGTCATTGAAGTACAGGTATAATGATATATGATATATGATATATGATATATACGAATATGTGTATATATATATGTATATATATATAGTTATTATACGTGTGTGTATGTATACATAATGATATACAATGATTCCGGGTTTTGAATGGTTTTGATTTTTGTTGGATGGTTTTGTGATGCCTTTGGGACATCTTGGGACCACTGCCTCATTATGTCTAATTCTTTTCCGTAGAGGATTTTGAATAGCATCCCTGCGCAGAAGCAAATCAACTTCGCATGCTCAAGCGATGTGTTCCCCCTGCCAACGCCACTTGCCTATAGGTCTGACATGTTGGGTTGGATCTTGTTCACGTTGCTTAGGGCTCCACGTCAACTCCAAAGGCTGTTGGCTCGAAATGAAGGGATCGCCGCAGTAGCCATCGCAATGGCCAAAGCGGCGCTAGAGGACTTGCGTCTTAGCAACATCCAGTCTTGAAGGAAGGGAGATGAATGCTATTTCATGATAAATGATGAGGGCTGTAGGATGGCTGAAGATTCCGGTGGGTTCTGCACTTCTGGAAATCCCTCTGGCAAGGTATGGCTTTGTGTATTCAGATGGGCTGCGACAAGGCCAAAATGCATGGCTTCAAAGGGGACGACCAAGATCAAAAAAGAGTTTACAACGAGGTCTTCGGGTACAATAATGGTCGGTTCTGTTCCATTTTGTTCCCATCAACTCACATCACCTGCGCTCCGCAGGTGTGCACATCACGGAGCAGCTTCGTGTCGACAGACTCTCCGGGAGATTTACATGGTCACGGGCGCGGCAGAACGAGGCCACGGCCCTGGTGGTTTCAGCTGGTTTCAGCTGTCCATGTCGTTTCCATGGCCATCTCAGATGACCCTTTTGGACTTGGGGATACCATGGGAGACCTGGGTTTTTTGGAGCCCAGGCAGCGAAGCTTCAGGGCAGCTCCTATTTGATATCTCAAGTGTGCGGGGTCCTGGCGCAGAGCTATGAGTTAGTTGACAACTCAAGAGACATGATGCAACATGACAATGGGATGGCTCTAAGATGACAATAGGATGACAATAGAACAACAATAGGATGACAACATGACTACTTAACTGCAGCTCCATATTTATGTCCATTGATTCCTAGGTCTAGCGTCCGTTTCACCACGCGGCTGGGAGACCCCAATTGCGAATTCTTGAGCGCACCCCGGCCGTGAGTTTTGGAGACGGCAGTTGCAGTACTGTTTCGGCTCAATTGGGATTAAAAGACGTCCAAGAAACAACGTAAGTCACGGGCAACTATGTTCCTTGAGAAGTACTTAGGTTCTTTACTTGTATAAATATTCCAACTCGGAAGGACCCCAAAATCTCATTTGACACGCAACAATTTCTGAGTTGTTTTTTGAGTTGACATCAGTTGATTTCTCAACTTCTTGTTGCTGTGCTCCCGGCTCCCGGTGGAGCCGTGGAGCCTAGGCTGCTCAGAAGCAAATCCACAAGCAACGGCAGCTTCGGAGCTGGCTGAAAAGTCACGCGCCAGTGATCCTGGGTTTGATCGTCACTTGGAGACCAATAGGATGGCTGTGTTATGGCTGCCTGGCTTGTGGCTTTTTTTAATTCCGGCCTACTACCGGGTGCGAAAAAAGACCACATGGCCAATTGATAGAGAAACTGATGATCAACATGGATAAACCATGAAATGCCAGAAATATTTGGAGCTTTTTGATCCCAAATATTCATATGATATGATGAGGGCCAGCTTAGATTTAACCTTTTTATTCCCATTTAGAGTTGGTGAGACATTTGCTCCTGGGAGCCCAGAGCGAGTTGAAGGAAGCAGAGACAAAGTTGAAATATTTGGGACATTTTTGGGACATTCTGGGACAAATCGGAGAGCTTACATGGTAACATGATGTAAATTGATGTAACATGCCCATCCCAGAATGGAAATATCGATAAACATCGTGCTTAGTCAGGGTCCTTGCAACTTGCAACCCTTGAAACTCTCATGATCCAGACCTCTCCTTGGAATCCCATGGAATCTCCAGGTCATGATCTTCAATGTCGTAACGCTGACATTGATCCTGGCGGCGTGTTTAGCGCATACGATGTGGTTGGTCTTCCCTCGGGCGCCGGGGCTGCACCACGCAGGGATGACCCATGGGCCCGTGAGATGTGAGACCCCATGATACCCCCTATGGGCCTATGGGTATGATACCCCTATGCAATCCCTATGATTCCCATGCAATACCTATGCCTACGCAAAAATCGTTGGTGCCTCGGATTTTGACGTGTACTTATAGTGGCTATATGTGGCGCTATAATCTTATCGAACAATCTGTTCCCCGGATTTTCACTTCGAGATAAAGATGATAAAGCCACTCGAGGGGACTGAGAGCCCATAAAAAATAGATGATTGATGCTGTGCGACAGAGAAATAGATGTGTGGATATTAATCATGTATATACATAGGCCGTACACACACACATATATATATACACATGTACAATCATATGCACATACTTTTACATTTTGTTGTAGGAAACTCGTTTAGAAATATGTTTGAGGTTGTCAACAACTCCGTCACTCCTTTGTCATAGTTGTTGATGCCTTGGCCTGCGAGTTCCGCGCAGGCCGGCGAGCACTTTGACATGTCTCAAGGCCTGCCCGGAATTTGTGCAGGGGCAGAGCATGGTACAGTAGAGCATGGTAGAGCATGGTGCAGCATGGTGCAGCCACATTACTGCTGGATTTTCACGGCATTGATATGAGGCCCAGACACAGAAGCATTGGGAGCTGCGTCCACCTTGTCTGTGCTCACAGCTTCTTGTTGGCGTTTCCATCAGTCCGGACGGGTCATGTTTCCGTTTTGTCACATTTAGAGGATGATTTGATATGATTTGCTGAACACACAGTTACTCACAGTTTACTTGGATCATCTTGGATCTGTCGGTTTGATGCAAGGGATTGCGTGCGTCTACGTACCACTCGAAGTACATTTGAATAGGTAGAACATGGTAGAACTCTCCCCCTGATCTCACATGTGAAGTGCGGAGAATATGTTGGTTTCATTACAGCACAAGACCCATTGACTCGTAGCAACCCAACACCTCTTCGGCCAACAAAGGCTTTGTGCGCAATAGTCACAGGCAAGGTCCGTTTGGTGCAATTTGCTTGCGGAGGCATCTCTGTTCGTTCCTACAATGTCCTCAAGCAATTTCTGCCCATATTGAGTGTTCAGACATGTTGTACCAATGGCTTGGAATTCATTTTCAGAATATAGGAGAAGAGGCGAGAGAGAGAGGAGAGAGAGAGCAAGGGGCGTGACTTTGACAAGGCCATCTACTACCAATTCCTAGATTCTGAGCCTTTGAGCTGGAGTAGCAGGATGGCAAATAGGAAGCACATAGAACATCTGGGTGAAACTGGGAAAATAAATGAACATAATATAATACATAATATATATAATATATATATATATATATAATCTATATCATATAATGATATATATATAATATGTAATTCATATATATATGTTATAATTAATTACTTTATATATATATATATAAAATACCCACACTCACACTAAGTGATTGGCGTTTTCTATCATGAGTTTGGCGGGCTTGGGTTCTCAAATTTTAGAAGCGCTGCTTCTACTTTAGCTGGCACAGTCGTTGCTAGGCTGGTGGCTGGGCATTTTCCGATGTCGTTGCTGTGGCTTCAACGCCTTCCATATGGATTCACTGGGGGTGGCCGAACGGCTGAGCGACAAAATTGCAACTTGCCATGGGGAATGGTTTACGGGGATGGTTTATGGCATTGTTTTACCCACAAAAATTCTGAATTATAGCTCGTTACAGTTAATACACGTTCATTATGTCATGTTTCCTGTACACCTGAGTGTTGTGCAGCCACGTGTTTCAACATTCTCCACGATTTACATGATCTTACTGTATCATTGAAAGCTCAGGCCGCGAGATGTAGAATCCAGAGGCGGGATGCTTGAACGTACTTCCGCGGTTGATCAGAGAATCAATCACTGACAACATTGTACAACCTTCGATGATTGCACACATGTTGTCAAGTTGGCAGATTGGTTCTGGCTGTCGCAGGCCTATCACAGGGGCTGTGCTAGTTGTTTGCATAATGTGGTGCCTTTGCTGCCAAATGAGCTGCGTAGAGTGAGAAACCGTCTTAGAAGTGGCCCCTGTCTCTCAGCCTCTTCCATTGCAGGTGACGACCATCCTGTAG